CACATAATCTTTATCCATTCATCTGTCGATGGACATTTGGGCTCTTTCCATACTTGGGCTATTGTTGATAGCGCTGCTATAAACATTGGGGTGCATGTGCCCCTTTGAAACAGCACACCTGTATCCCTTGGGTTAATACCTAGTAGTGTAGTTTCTGAGTCGTAGGGTGGTTCTATTTTTAGTTTTTTGAAGAGCCTCCATACTGTTTTCCAGAGTGACTGCACCAGTTTGCATTCTCACCAGCAGTGCAAAAGAGATCCTCTTTCTCTGCATCCTCACCAACATCTGTTGTTGCCTGAGTTGTTAATGTTAGCCATTCTGACAGGTGTAAGGTGGGATCTCATTGTGGTTTTGATTAGTATTTCCCTGATGATGAATGATGCTGAGCATTTTTTCATGCATCTGTTGGCCATCTAGATGTCTTCTTTAGAGAAGTGTCTATTCATATCCTTTGCCCATATCTACACTGAATTATTTGTTTTTTGGGTATTGAGTTTCATAAGTTCTTTTACATTTTGGGTACTAACCCATTATCTCATATGTCATTTGCAGATATCTTCTCCCATTCTGTTGGTTGCCTTTTAGTTTTGCTGACTGTTTCCTTCACTATGCAGAAGCTTTTTATTTTGATGAGGTCCCAGTGGTTCATTTTTGCTTCTGTTTCCCTTGCCTCCGGATATGTGTTGAGTAAGATGTTGCTGCGGCCAAGATCAAAGAAGTTTTTGCCTGCTTTCTCGTCGAGAATTTTGATGGCTTCCTATCTTACATTTAGGTCTTTCATCCATTTTGAGTGTCTTTTTGTGTATGGTGTGAGGAAGTGGTCCAGGTTCATTCTTCTGCATGTTGCTGTCCAGTTTTCCCAGCACCATTTGCTGAAGAGACTGTCCTTATTCCATTGGATATTCTTTCCTGCTTTGTCAAAGATTAGTTGGCCATATGTTTGTGGGTCCATTTCTGGGTCCTGTATTCTGTTCCATTGATCCGAGTGTCTGTTCTTGTGCCAGTACCATACTGTCTTGATGATTACAGTTTTGTAATATGTCTTGAAGTCTGGGATTGTGATGCCTCCTGCTTTGGTTTTCTTTTTCAAGATTGCTTTGGCTATTCAGGGTCTTTTCCGGTTCCATACAAATTTAGGATTGTTTGTTCTGGCTCTGTGAAAAATGCTAGTGTTACTTTGATAGGGATTGCATTGAATTAATAGATTGCTTTGGTTAGTGTCGACATTTTAACAATATTCTTCCAATCTAGGAGCATGGAATGTTTTTCCATTTTTGTGTGTGTGTGTCTTTTTCAGTTTCTTTCATTAGCTTTCTGTAGTTTTCAGTGTATAGATTTTTCACCTCTTTGGTTATGTTTATTCCTAGGTATTTTATGGTTTTTGGTGCAATTGTAAATGGGATTGATTTCTTGATTTCTCTTTCTGTTTTTTCATTATTGGTGTATAAGAATGCAACTAATTTCTTTGAATTGATTTTATATCCTGCGACTTTGCTGAATTCATGGATCAGTTCTAACAGATTTTTGGTAGAATATTTGGGGTTTTCCATATAGAGTATCATTTCATCTGCAAAGAGTGAAAGTTTGACTTCCTCCTGGCCGATTTGGATGCCTTTAATTCCTTTGTGTTGTCTGATTGCTGAGGCTAAGGCTTCCAATACCATGTTGAATAACAGTGGTGAGAGTGGACATCCCTGTCATGTTCCTGACCTTGGGGGGTAAGCTCTCAGTTTTTCCCCATTGAGGATGATATTAGTAGTGGGTCTTTCATACATGGCTTTTATGATCTTGAGGTATGATCCTTCTATCCCTACTTTCTTGAGGGTTTTTATCAAGAAAGGATGCTGTATTTTGTCAAATGCTTTCTCTGCACGTTGTCTTGTGTTTTTAAATGCGTACCTGTTGTGTGATACCTCATTTAGTTCTGTTTTTCCCCTAGTACTGTTTCTGATCCATTTGTTTTGCTATCTGTGCATTTGTTGCTTCTACCTGCTATGTAATGCTCCATGGTATTCGCTCAACTCTACACGTATTTTTACTGCATCATGCACCCTTAATTAATGTAGTCGGAATAATTTCACATTAGAATTATTTCTTCAACAAGGTTGTAATTTACTGTAAAACAGAGATCACAGTTTTCACTAATGTCCTCTCAGGGTACTTAGGAAAGCTGTGTCTATAAATTGGCACAACTAATCATTTGTTTGATAATACTATGTAGATGGGGACTTATTGTTTGTTGGCAGTAACTTGAAAATATGATCAGATGAGATCTTGGGTTGTATTTTATTTAAGTACTATTAAATAAGGTAATGTCCTGTTTCTTACTTTACTTATCTCCTGTTTCCACAGTTAAGTGTACTAAATAGGGCACAGAACTTGGAGTAAGAAAACTTGGGTTTCAGTCATTGTTCTACTTACCAGCTTGGTAATTGTTATGTTAACAAATGACTTAACTGTTTTGAGTTTATTTCCTCATTCATTAATAGGGATGTTCATTCCACATAGCCAACTTCACTGTTGTGGTGAAGTCAAATAGTAATGTATGTTAATGTATAGAGTGCTATTTTTTTTTTATTAGAATTGTACCTAATACATTCCATTGCTTGTGCTCATTTTTATTCATTTGTCTTTACTGAACTTTAAAATGCTTGCTATTATGTTTTGTAACATTCTATAAAATACATTGATAGTCTGTGGATTTGGTTCTGGACTTGGATAAATGTTCTTAGTACATAATGATGTATGTGTGTGTACTATATATTATGCATCTTGTCATCCTAGAAATTATTATGGAGGTCTACTCTATGTATTTTTGTCCATCTCTGAAATTATTACATAATAAACAATAAGAATTTTGCAAGTCTTTTTTTTTTAATTAATAGCATTTTTCTACCCTTCAGAATGATGTTTTGTTAGCACAAATAAGAACATTATATATTTTAGCCTGTTTGAAATGGGAATTAGTTAAACAGAAACATCTTACTCCTACTACATCCTGCCACGCCCTGGGCCTTGAAGCATAAAAACATAGGGGCCAGAGTCCATGTTTTGTTTTAGACTGCAGGGTGGCTTGAGTCTGAGATGGTTTTGTTCATTTCTAGATTGGAAGTAGGAAGAGAAAGGCCTGTCTAACAAAATGATTTAGACTGGAAGTCTGATTAATTAATTATAGTAACCAATACTAGAATAAAATTTTCTATAGGGATATTTAATAAGGGCTTGATGAATATTTTCCTTAAGTGTAAATCTGGATAGCAAAGTCATTGGCAAATGTCTAGAACTTTCCCATTTTCTGAAATATTTGTTTAATAATAATTTCCTATACAAATTTAACCCAGGAAAGGCTGAGCTTCTTTTTGATTTGGCAAGTCTTACCATGCTGCTCTTACAACAATGTTGAGCTAATTAATATATTGATAGTGTATTTACTAATAGTAGTGTATGCACCTGAAAAATAATATATGGTTACCTATTTAATCAAAGGACAAAATATTTTAAAGTAAATATAGATAGGGAGGATTCTGGGAAGATGGTGGAGTAGGAAGCAGGAGGAATCTCTCTCCCCACCTACACAACAATTACAGTGGCAGAATCTATCCTGTGAAACTATTTTGGATCTCTGGAGTCTATTGTAGGCATGCAACCTCTAGGTGAAAGCTTAAATAATAAATTTTGTTTATTTTCAGTTAATTTTAGGTCTTAGCTAGGTAACAGTGGCTGCCACCCATTTCGCACCTCCCAGCACTCAGGCATTCAGCCCTGCATACTTTCCAGAAGCAGTGTGAATACACCTTGTGGGAACCAGGGTGAGCAAAAGGTCCATGTCCTCCAAATGTCAGGGATCTGTGCTCTGATTATTTATTATTATTATCATTATTATTTTATTTTAATGAGAGAGAGAGAGAGAGAGAGAGACTGCACAAGCGGGGAAAGAGGCGGAGGGAGACAGAGAATCTTAAGCAGGTTCCATACTCAGTGCATAGCCTGACGTGGGGTTCAGTCCCATGACCCTGGATCATGACCACAGCCTAAATCAAAAGTTGGACACTCAGCTGACTGAGCTACCCAGGCACCTCTGTTCTCTGATTGTTATTTGCAATTTCTGATCTTGGAGGTGCAGACAAGGAGGTGGACAGCCATTGTTGTACCTCCCCCCTGATTGAAAGCCCCACTCTTTCATGCTGAGGTGACTTCCATAGTATTTAAAGGGCTGGTGTCCCCACCCCCTTTTTCCCATCTTCATTTCTCTTTTTTCCCCTTTAAGGAAACATGGAAGTACTTAATTCTTTTCAATGGCTGTGTATCTAGTACAGTGATATCACAATATATTTAAATGTGTATTTAGGTGTTTATATTTTTTTGCTTTGATGAACATTGCTGGGATAAACATCCTTTTACACATCCTTTTGTATTTGTGATACTGTATCTGTAGGACAAATTTGAAATTCCAATTGCTCTTTCAAATGGTATGTGAATTTAAAATTTTTACATACTTTTCCAAATGACTATAATTAACTTTCTCACAAACAAGGTATGCAAAGACTTATTTCCTCACATTCTGGCCAACCTTGTGTGTTATTTTATTTTTCTCAAGTTACAAAAGTGTCTTGTTTTATTTAGTATTATTATTAAAAAAATTTTTATTAGTATTTTGTGTGTACATTTATTGGCTTATTTTTTCCCCATCATTTGCTTTTCTAGTCTTTTCTCCACTTCTTATTTTGACTGCCAGTATTTTTCTTAGTGATTTGGATGAACTTTTGCATATTACAGAATTAGCAGTCTATCAATTATGTTGCAAGTATTTTCTTAAATAATTATTATACTCGATTATATATTTTGCCCTGCAGATGTTTTAAGTTTTATATAGTGAACATGGTCAGTCTTTATTCTTGTAACTTATGGGTTTTAAGTCAGTTTTGAAAGTCCTTCAGTCAAAGATTATAGAAAATCAACCTCTATTTTCTTTTACCATCTTATAGTTTAATTTTTGCCTGTTTAAAAAAGCCATCTACTTGGAATTCTTTTGGTGTTAGGAACGAGATAGAAATTAAGCCCTTGTACTTTTAAGTAGCCAACTTCAGAGAGTATGTTTATATATGGTGAATGTGGAAAGAGATAAAACTCAGCTATGTCTTTCAAATTTCTAGCCTGATATTTTTCCCCTCGTGATTTTTATTTATGGAGAAAAAAGATGTATTTAAATATTAAGTCATTTACCCTCATAGTATTTTCATTTTTCACTCTTTTCTGGAAGTTTCTTTCTATATTCTGATTTATAAGAGATGCTTCAGTAGCAGTCTCTTACATTTTAAAGTCAGTGTGGACCCTTGCACATAATATATCAGCTTGAATATCTACTTAATGTTAGTGACATTAATTACAGTAAAGTTAAAAATTGTAGACTAAATTTCTTTTTTTAAGGACTTAGTTCCCTTCAACCCCAGATATTCCTGAATGCTTTTTTTTGGTTAAGAAAAGAATACTGTGAGATGTAAATTTTAAAAGAAATGACAAATCTGATTTTCCCTCTTAGATTTTGGATTGGTTTGTGCAGATATGTTTGGCCTTGAAACATGTACATGATCGAAAAATTCTTCATCGAGACATAAAGTCGCAGGTATGATTATTCTGTCACTAATAACTTCTAAATGGATATGGACTTGGAGCCAGTGTTGTCATAGGCTAAAATTTTTGAAACTGATCCAGTCTGCATCGGATTATCGGTTCTCTCTTCACTGTTCTCCCTTCACTATAATACTAGATATCCTCCTTATATGCCTTCTGTTTTATAGCTCCTGCCTCCTTCCTATATCCTCCTTCTGGGTTTACTCTCATAATGATGGGAAAAAAACCAAAAAATAAATATGTGGAAGGTATATTTTGGGGGGATATTTTATGCCTGAAGATGACTTTTTTCCATTCTCTTACTTTAATGATAATTTGGATATAAAGTTCTAGGCTGGAAATTTGTTTTCCTAAAGAACTTTGAAGATATTGCTCATTTATCTCTTGGCCTCTAGTGTTGCTATTTAGGAATTTAGTCAGTGGTTTCTTACCCTGTTTTTTCTCTTTGGATGACTGTACGATATTCTGTATGTCCCCATTGTTCTGAAATTTCATAGGGTTGTGCATTAGTGAAATTGTTTTTATTATGTTGTGTAGTTGAGAATGTATATTCACCTAGAAATGTTCTGCAAAATGTTTAGCAGAATTTTTTCAGATATTATTTCTCTATCATTACCTTCATGGTCTTCTGAATTATGTTTCTAGACCTATGTTGTAGCTTCTTAATCTAGCCCTTCCAAGTACCTTATTTGTTCTTTCACATTTTATTTCTTTGTCTCTCAGTTGCCTTCTAGGTGAATTTCTCAGCCTACTTTCAAGTTACCCAAATCCTTTTTTAATTTTGTCTAAACTGATACATATCTATTTACTTTTTATAATGACTATTTTTTTTTTCTCCAAGATTTCTAAATGGTTTTTCATATACCTCTGTTCTTAATCTGATTGGTTTTTATTTCATAATGTCTTGTTCTTTTTAAACGGATTTCTTTCATTTATCTGTTTGCAATTTTCTTTCTTTTTGTTTTTTAAAGATTTTATTTTTAAGTAATCTCTATACCCAACATGGGGCTCAAACTTACAACCCTAAGATCAAGAGTCACGTGCCCTAATGACTGAGCCATCCAGGCACCCCTCTCTTAGCTAAACATACTTATTTTAAAGTTTTTGTCACTTTTATAGAATTAATTCTGTCTGGAGTGAATTCTTGTTCTGATTATTTTATTGGCTTTTTTTTTTGGAAACTCTTTGTGAGAGATGTTTTGTCCCCATAGCTCACTCATCTGTGCATAGAGTTTCTTTCATGGATGCCCCACTGGGCTTTCTCAGTCCTCAGACTAGGTAGATCAGAGGGTATTTGTCTCCTGGTGTCAAGGCCATGTGTTTGTCTTACCTTCTTACACCTGTAGCCTCTCATATAGCCTGATTGCCTCCGGATGTGTAGTAGGAAGAGAAGGATCTGTGATGGGAGCTTCATACCTCATCCTTCCTGTCCCCCAACTCTCTGCCACCTAATCCCAATTTCACCCCATTTTACTCCATCCCCCTCATCCCTGCTTTGTGTCATCTTTGACTGTGAACATGTGTCTGAGTCAAGTCTCCTAAATGATGTGGAGTTTAATTTATGTGCCACAAACTCCTGCCTTTACGGTTTGATAGAGCATTGGGGTTATATATTTATGGGGTTAGCTATTACCCAAATTAATTGGGTAAATTATTGGAAAATTTTAAGATTCTTTTGTTATATTTAGGCTAATTGGATTTTTTAGGCATTTTTTTTTTTTAGTGGGGGAGTCTGGGTTCATTTATTTGAAGTTATATTGAGATATATTTCAAATACCTTAATATTCACCCACTGGAAATGTATTGTTCAGTGATTTTTAGTATATTCACAGAGTTTTTGAAACCATTACCATTCTCTAATTCTAGAACATTTTTTTATAACTTCAAAAAGAAACCCTATACCATTAGCAATCACTTTCCATTCCCTCTCTACCTAGACTCTGGAAACCACTAATTTACTTTCTTTCTCAATGGATTTGCCTGTTTCTGGACATTTTATATAAATGGAATCATAGTATGTGACTTTGTGTATTGTAAGTGGGTTGTCTTTTGTTGCTAATGAATTGTAAGAGTTCTTTATTCTGGATACATGATTTGCAAATATTTTCTCCAGTTGTGTGGGTTGTCTGTTCATTTTTGATATAGTGTTCTTTGAACAAAAGTTTTTAATTTTGGTGAAGTCCACTTTATATTCTCTTCTTTGCTTGTGCTTTTGGTGTTATATTTAAGAAACCATTGCCCAACCCAATAACACAAAGACATACTCCCATTATATTCCTCTAGCAGTCGTATAGTTTCAGTTCTTATATTTAGGAATCCATTTTGAGTCAATTTTTGTGTATGGTGTAAGGACCTACATTCATTCTTTTGTATGTGGATATCCAGTTATTCCAGCTTTTTAAAAAACGTTTGTTTATGGGGCGCCTGGTTGGTGGCTCAGTTGGTTGTGTCCGACTTCGGCTCAGATCATGATCTCACGGTTCATGAGTTCAAGCCCTGCGTTGGGCTTTGTGCTGACAGCTCAGAGCCTGGAGCCTGTTTCGGATTCTGTGTGTGTCTCTCTCTCCTTCAAAAATAAACACTAAAAAAATTCAAAAAAATGTTTATTTTTGAGAGAGCGAGCATGTGCGCGCAGGGGAGGGGCAGAGAGAGGGAGATAGAGGATCTGAGTGGGCTTCCATGCTGATAGCAGAGAGCCCATTGTGGGGCTCAAACTCACAAACCATGAGATCATGACGTCAGCTGAATTTGGATGCTTAACCGACTGAGCCACCCAGGCACCTCCCAGCTTTTTTTAAACTAGATTTGTTTTTGTGAAAAGAGTTGTCAGGACTGGACTGTAACAATATTTCTGGCTTTTTATATCTCTTAAACAGAACATATTTTTAACCAAAGATGGGACAATACAACTTGGAGATTTTGGAATCGCTAGAGTACTTAATAGGTAACATACTAATTTTAAACTTTGTTTTGATAAAATGTCCATGGTGGTGTATATGTTTTCATTTATAATATATTTTAGTATCTTAAGCTTCTCCAATAATTCTTTTTTTGTCGTAGTACTGTGGAACTGGCTCGAACTTGCATAGGGACCCCATACTACTTGTCACCTGAAATCTGTGAAAACAAACCTTACAATAATAAAAGGTATTTAAAATGATATTCATTACATGATATATTCCCTTTAAATCTTTCTCTTGTGCTGTATTTACTGACCTCAGGATATTATTGCAAAATCATTAATGCTTATAAAAATATATATGTAAGTATATATGTATATACATACACACACACACGCGTACACCCATTTTTTTACTATACAATGAGGGGGGATTGCAAATAAGTTATTTCACTGTCTTTCTAAAGGAACTATAGAAAGTGTCACCTTATTGTTTAAGTTATAATTGGAAATAGAGTATTTACTTTGGTCTTTGTAATAGCACTTCCTATTGAAATATCTAATAGTTAATATTTATTGAACAAATTATATGCCCGGCACTGGTTTGAATGCTTTCTATGTATTGACTCCTTTACTCTTCACAATAATCTAGTGAGTTGTAAGCATTAATTATTCCTCCTTTTCCTTGTAAGGAAGCCAAATGCAGAGAGAGAGGGAAAGCAACTTGCAAGTCCCAGGCATCTGGCTCCCAAGCCCAAATCCCTAATCATTGAGTTGTACTATGGCTAACAGATTGTAGAAGATGTGACTGGGATGAAGAATTCTGCTGCTGAATTCTATTTACCATTTATTTTCTTTCTAACTGAAATATACTAGCCAAGAAATATTGGTCTTAAATTTGAAAGCAGGCGTACTTGGGTGGCTCAGTCACTTAAGTCACTGACTTTGGCTCAGGACATGATTTCGTGGTTCATGAGTTTGAGCCTGGGTTTGGGCTCTGCACTGACAGAAATAGCATTAAAATCTAAAATTACTTAAGCTCAGGGCATGGCTCAGTTGGTTAAGCATCCAACTTCTGATTTTGGCTCAGGTCACGATGTCACAGTTCGTGAGTTCAGGTCCTGCTTTGAGTTCCATGCTTGTTTGTGTGCATGCATGCTCTTTCTCTCTCAAAATAATAAGTAAATAAACTAAAAAAAACTTTGAAAGCACTCACAGAAGTTAAAAGGAAGAAAGCGATAGCTCCTTTTTTTGAGTGGGAAGGAAGCTATGTTTGAAACCTGAGCACTTGAGACTGAGAACATTAATGTATTTTTTAAATGAATTTAAATTACAATAATCAGTCTAGTTCATGGAAAGTATTATTTAGTGTATATTCTTTTTTTTTTATTTTTTTATTTAAAAAAAAATTTTTTTTTTCAACGTTTATTTATTTTTGGGACAGAGAGAGACAGAGCATGAACGGGGGAGGGGCAGAGAGGGAGACACAGAATCGGAAACAGGCTCCAGGCTCTGAGCCATCAGCCCAGAGCCTGACGCGGGGCTCGAACTCACGGACCGCGAGATCGTGACCTGGCTGAAGTCGGACGCTTAACCGACTGCGCCACCCAGGCGCCCCTTTTTAGTGTATATTCTTAATGATACTAGCATTTTCTTTGAGCTAAAGTAATTTTTTTAAGTTTATGTATTTATTTTGAGAGAGAGGGAGTGAGGGAGGGGCAGAGAGTAGGGGAGAGAGAGAATCCCAAGCAGGCTCCTCTGCTCTCAGCATGGAGCCCAAAGCAGGGCTTGAACTCATGAACTGTGACATCATGACCTGAGCCAAAATGAGAAGCTGGATACTTAACCAGCTGACCCACGCATGTGCCCTGAACTGAAGTGATTTTAGACTTTAATGCTATTTCTGTATCTTATGAATAAGTCAACTGTGAAAAATATCAGTCTTTATCTTTAAATTAGGAATGTATTTAATCCTTTGGTGAATTAAAAAAAATTTTTTTTTAAACACTTTATTTATTTTTGAGAGACAGAGTGTGAGCATGGGAATGGGAGAGAGAGAGACAGAGACACAGAATCTGAAGCAGGCTCCAGGCTCTGAGCACAGAGCACTGTCAGCACAGAGCCCAACACTGGGCTTGAACCCACCAACCATGAGATCATGACCCAAGCTGAAGTCAGAGGCTTAACCGACTGAGCCACCCGGGCGCCCTGAGAATTTTTTATTTTATTTATTTTTGAGACAGAGAGAGGCAGAGCATGAACAGGGGAGGGGCAGAGAGAGAGGGAGACACAGAATCTGAAGTAGGCTCCAGGTTCTGAGCTGTTAGCACAGAGCGTGCCGCGGGGGCTTGAACTCATGGAGTGTGAGATCATGACCTGAGCTGAAGTCGGATGCTTAACCGACTGAGCCACCCAGGCGCCTGAGAATTTTTTATTTTAATGTTTATTTTTATTTTTGAGAGAGAGAGAGTGACCGAGTGTGAGCAGGGGAGGGGCAAGAGGGAGAATCTGAAGCAGGCTTCAGACTCCCAGCTGCAGCACAGAGCCCGACGCAGGCTCCAACTCAGGGAACCGTGAGATCATGACTTGAGCTGAAGTTGGACACTTAACCGACTAAGCCACCCAGGCACCCCTGAGTATTTTCTATAAAACTAATTTTGTGGGGAAAATAGTTTAAAAATGTCATGGATGAGCATTGTCAGTATACTTTAAAATTCATATTTTTCTAAGTATGTTTTAAAGCATTTTTAAAATAGGATCATTAGTGTAATGGTTTTGATTATACATGTTACATGTACTAACATGTACAAGTTACTAAATGGCTTAATTACTATTCACACTTTTTTGCTAGTTGATTTTGAAACTAAATAAATTTTGGGGGTTACAGATTTATATTTGTAGCTTTTTGTGAGTTTAGTTAAAGGTAACTTCGGGATTTCAGTATTGGGTTTTCTTTTTTTCCAATAAGTTCAGCTTTCAGGAGTAGTGGTTTTTGTTTTTATTGACTACTAAGGGCAACTGTTGCTCTGAACTATGAGATTTTTATTTTTTCTTTTTAAAAATGGAAGGTAGCATTTATTTAATTATAAAAATATGTATAAAAGAGAGGAAGAAACTATAAAGGAGACATTATAACTAAGTCCTTAAGTTAAGATTAAATAAATATATTTACCTTATATAATATTTCAGTTGGCTGTCCTATGTTTCAGATAAATTTGAGTAAATTAATATTTTCTTGTTCATCATGAAAATAGTATTTTGCTTTTATAAGATATAGATTTTTAATTTTATTATTTTTAAAAGATGTTTATTTTGAGAAAGAGCACACACGTGCATCTGGAGGTAGGGCAGGAGAGAGGGAGAAAGAGAATCCCGAGTAGGTCCTGTATTGTCAGCGTTATCCTGATGTGGGGTGGGGCCCGATCCCATGAACCTCGAAATCATGACTTGGGATGAAATCAAGAGTCGGATGCCCAACTGAGCCTCCCAGGTGCCCCTTATATTTTTTTAAATCATGGTATTTCATAAATAATTGAATAAAATAACTAGAATATTCATGAAATTTACTGATTTTGTTCTTTTAAATATTACATTTCTTTAATAAAACTTTAAAATAATTGCTTGGGCAACTGCTTCTTCTAATCTGGGATAGCTACTTTTATCATTTGGATATGGTTGAAATTTTGAGTTTTAAAGGATATATTTTATGGAACATATATTTTTGGAAAGCATTTTCATTTTGCTTTTGTTTCCTTTAAATAAAAAAAAAAAATTAAACTCTGATACTTAGAGAAAATTTCTCATTTTTCCCTTTTCTAGTGACATTTGGGCTCTGGGGTGTGTCCTGTACGAAATGTGCACACTTAAACATGCAGTAAGTAGAAGTTTCTGAAATATTTTAAAAATTATGTCCTGACGTACCTATAATATTTCTATATTTTAAAAATCATATGCCATCTTTCAGGGGGCCCACTTGTACTGGAAATTCTTCTCTGTCAGTTTTTAAATTTCTCATCTTTCAAGTGTAAATTTAAATAGATTTTCCTTTAATATATACATATATTACATATGTATGTTATATATTTATTATTATAATAGGTATATCATACTTTTTTACACGAAATTATTCCTAATGAGAAAAACAAATTTGCTGTCTTTTTAATGTTATATTCATATATGAATTTGGTATTTTAGCTTATTTATTTCATCTTGGTGATTTCTCTCAAAACACCCAAATTATTTGAGTTTGGAATTGAAATTGAAGAACAATTTTTTACCATATTCATTGAGGGATTTTATCAATTCAAATGCTCTTTAATTAAAATTTTTATTTTTTAGACTTTGTTGAGATGGCACATAATACTCCCAAAAGGGGGAGTTTTTGTCTTAAATAAGTTGAGTTTTAGCCACTTTCCATTTCAAAATTTTGCTCTTTAAAAATGCTCCCCCCATTAAACAGTAATGTATTTTCATTACAGAAAACTTAAGAAAATAGGTAAAAATAGAAAGAAGTGAATGAATATCAAAAGCAGTTCCTCTAATTGGTAATAAGTACTTGTAATATTTTGTTGTTTCCTTCCAGGCTTTCTTCTACATTAATTTTTAAAAGGATTTTTTTCTCTCTGTCTAAAGTGTGATTATATTGTATAAGCAGTTTTATAGCCTTGTTTGTATTTCCTGGTATTATTTGGGGGGTTTTTTTTGTTGTCTTTTTTAATGATTGCACACTCTTCTACTGTATTGTCTTAGCTGTTATTTTTCTTTCTCAAGGTAAAAAAGCATAGGCTGCCAAAGTGATGTGGAATGGTAGTTATCAGATCTGTATTTGAAAGAATTGGTCAGTTTTTCTGACATAACAGTCATTTTAGGTCTAACTCAGTGCATTTTCTTTCATTTTTCATCTACATTGTTCTGTCACCGTTGCTTCTGTATTTTGGAGCTATTTACACTTAAGTAGACACATGAAGTTAAGTAATTCACTCACCTTTATGAAAAAAGCTTGTCAGTTAAGAGATAAATGAAAATTGATTGTAGGGAAGGAATAATTTATCATTCTGCATTTAGAATTCCTTCTTAGGTACATAGATATTTCTAGATATTTCTAAATTTCTATTTGAATTGTACTCAAATTTTAATAACCTGAATATCATATTGTAATTGTCTAGGAGAATTCAACATTTAACAGAACGTTTTTATACTTGGTATAATTATCAATACCTAATTTATAGCAAGTTTTGTTTTGTTAACGTGTATGTTAAGAACATGTTACAGTGTGTAACTATTCTATACTATTTTAGCAGAGATATCAAAAGCTTAATTTTACTTTGAAAATGAAAATTAAATCTTTAGATTTTAAACTGCCCTCTTTTTTTTTTTAATTTCAGTTAGAGTTTATAGTGTGTTTACTCTTTTTTTTTAATTTTTTGTTTTTAATGTTTATTATTGAGAGATAGAGCATGGGAGGGGCAGAGACAGGAGAAGACACAGAATCCGAAGCAGGCTCCAGGCTCTGAGCTGTCAGCACAAGAGCCTGACGTGGGGCTCGAACTCACAAACTGTGAGATCATGACCTGAGCTGAAGTCAGATGCTTAACTGACTGAGCCACCCAGGCAACCCTGTTTACTCTTTTTTTTTTAGTTTAGTTATTTATTTAGAGAGAGACAGAGACAGTGCAGATGGGGAAGGGCAGAGAGATGGAGAGAGACAGTCCCAAGCATGCTGCCAGTGCAGAACCTGATGTGGGGCCTGAACCCACGAAACTACCAGATCACGACCTGAGCCAAAACCAAGAGTCCGATGCTTAACTGACTGACCCACCCAGGGGCCCCTATTGTGTTTACTCTTAAGATATATACTATTCCCATTGATATGGCTTATATTCCTCTTTGGAATATTTGCCAAATTGCTCCTTACATGGCTTTTGGAAGTATCACACAGTTCATAATAATGAGCAGTGTTTAAAAGGAAAGTAATTAGTATTTTTATTTATTATATTTTTCTCAGATACTTGTCATTTCGTAGTTAATTTCCTTTCCCAGTTACTGCAACAAGACACAGATAGGCAGGTCTTAAATGAAGACTACAAGGTTTGTTTGTTTTTGTCTTTATTATTATTCTTATGTTTTCATAAAATCTTTAATACCTTTATTCCATCTTTCAGTGTGTTGAATAAGTAAAAATTAATCTTTTAACAAGTTATGATGTTTTGAGGACTATTAATCTCTTTTAAGTATGTTTATAAATAACCAAGTGAACTTTGTTCTGAATAACATATGCTAATATATACATATATGTACATATATATATTCTGATTAAAATATTTGTAATATAGTTCTGTTCTTTAGGAAAAGAACTATTTCTCATTGTTTATTCCTATTTTCAATTTATGTATGTTTCTTCTGGATTTTAGTTTGAAGCTGGCAGTATGAAAAACCTGGTACTGAAGATAATATCTGGATCTTTTCCACCTGTGTCTTTACATTATTCTTATGATCTCCGCAATTTACTCTCTCAGTTATTTAAAAGAAATCCTAGGGATAGACCATCAGTCAACTCCATATTGGAGAAAGGTTTTATAGCCAAACGCATTGAAAAGTTTCTCTCACCTCAGGTATGTGTTTTTTGTTTTTGTTTTTACTTTAAAATAGTAAGATTATGGTGCTTAATTAGGACATGGCCTATGTTTTGTGGAGAGCACAGCACAATTATGGAAGATCGAAATAGCTTTTTCAAATTATCCTGGAGTCACCTTTCTTTCCATTTTCATACAGTTCTTCCCCTTTGTATTTGTTTTCTAGTTGTGAATCTGTGGTAGAGAAAACATTCCTCCTGTGTTCCTCTTACCAGTTAATTTTTACACTTCCAGTCACCAAATATGTGGTTGTTTCTCCCACACCAAGCAATTCTGCAACATAGCTGGGTGTCCTGAAATTTAGTTCAGTCTGGTACTGTCCACCTGGAGATGTATATCATCATATCCCACAGATTAAGGGCTCAGTTCCCCAAGACTGCCCTGCTTCTGAAGCCAATGGCAAGTTCACGTTGTCACCTGTGCTTTTGACTGGCCAGCTATAAATCAGAGGTTCCCACAACCCCCTCCTCTGGTTTGGTTACTAGAGTGGTTCACAGAATTCAGAGAAATATTTACTTAAGTTTACCAGTTTATTGTAAAGGAGTACTAACTATAAAGGATACAGATGAACAGCCAGGTGAAGGGATACATAGGGAAAGGTCTGAAAGTGTCCTGAGTGCAGGAGTTTCTCTTCAGTGAAACAGATGTGTCACCCTGCTGGCATAGTCACCAACACAGAAGCTATCTGAATCCTGTCGTTTAGATTTTTTATGGAGGCTTTATTATGTAGACATGATTGATTAAATCATTGCCCCTTAGTGTTTGATTCAACCTCTAGTCCCTTTCCTCCCCCGGAGAGGAGTAGGAATGAGAGTTCCAACACTCTAATCACGAGGCAGATTTCCCTGGCAATCAGCTTCCATTCTTAGGGGCTTTCTAGATGTCACCTCATTAACATAAATTCTGAAGTGTACTTGAAAGGGGCTTGTTAAGGGATATAGGAGTACTGATGCATAGGGGCACTTGTACCCCAATGTTTATAGTAGCACTCTCAACAATAGCCAAATTACGGAAAGAGCCTAAATGTCCATCAACTGATGAATGGATAAAGAAATTGTGGTTTATATACGCAATGGAATACTATGTGGCATTGAGAAAGAATGAAATATGGCCCTTTGTAGCAACGTGGACGGAACTGGAGAGTGTGATGCTAAGTGAAATAAGCCATACAGAGAAAGACAGATAACAT